ATAATGAGTCACTGAATGGTTAGGATTAGACTGAGTCACTGAATGGTTAGGGTTAGACCGAATCACTGAATTGTTAGGGTTAGACCGAGTCACTAAATGGTTAGTGTTAGACTGAGCCAATGAATGGTTAGGGTTAGACCGAGTCATTGAATGGTTAGGGTTAGACCGAGTCACTGGATGGTTAGGGTCAGGGTTAGACCGAGTCACCGAATGGTTAGGGTTAGACCGAGTCACTGGATGGTTAGGGTTAGACTGAGTCATTGAATGGTTAGGGTTAGACTAAGTAATTGAATGGTTAGGATTAGACTGAGTCACTGAATGGTGAGGGTTAGACTGAGTCACTGAATGGTGAGGGTTAGACTGAGTCACTGCATGGTTAGGGTTAGACTGAGTCACTGAATGGTTAGGGTTAGACTGAGTCACTGAATTGTTAGGATTAGACTGAGTCACTGAATGGTTAGTGTTAGACTGAGTCACTGAATGGTTAGTGTTAGAATGAGTCACTGAATTGTTAGGATTAGACTGAGTCACTGAATGGTTAGTGTTAGACTGAGTCACTGAATGGTTAGTGTTAGACTGAGTCACTGAATGGTTAGGGTTAGACCGAGTCACTAAATGGTTAGTGTTAGACTGTGCCAATGAATGGTTAGCGTTAGACCGAGTCCATGAATGGTTAAGGTTAGACCAAGTCACTGAATATGGTTAGGGTTAGACGGAGTCATTGAATGGTTAGGACTACGAGCGCAAATCCAGAATTATAAATGGTTTGGTTTTGTATATTTGTGAAAAAGTGGTTTTTAAAAAGTGATACACTTACTTGTGGCGTCAGGGATCCGGGCACGGTGGCAATTCTAGCGCTGCAGGGAGTGATGGTTAAAATGTTTTGTTTAATATCCAGGGGTCTCCAAGTGGCAGAGTAGGGATGAAATAGGGCTTGCTTTAGGGGTTGTTTATGGCGGCTGGGAATGGTGCCATCAGTTATAGTGATGAGCTCAGGGGTCAAGGACTGAGGTAGAAAGCAGGTTGAATTCTATGTGTGCCAAAAGGCTGATGTGTAAACTGCCTCTGGTCTTCGTGTAGTATATGTTCTAGAGGTGATGGAGTGGAAGTGACAGTCGATTGGGAAGGGGAGTGCACAGGGCCGTGCCAGTGAGCTTTAAACCTTTAAACCCAAATCCACTTTCTACCCCCATAATTCCAAAGGTTCCTTCATAGACACATGTTATCAAGCCACATATTCAGATCTCCTTTCTATGTGTCGTAAAGGCAGAACCCTGATACAATTTGAGCCCCGCTGAAACCTCCGCCCTAAAAGAACTCACCACCAACCACGATATAGTCATGAAACAAGCAGACAAGGGCGGCGGCATTGTTATTCAGGATCGGTCTGACTACGTGAACGAAGCCCGCAGACTCTTAGATGACAAGTCCACTTACACTCCCGTAACATCAGATCCCCTCACCATCTACCAAACACAATTATTTCACCTTCTCGAAACAGCCACGGAAAACAACATTCTTACCGAAAAAACCACCTGCTCCCAAAGCCATCACACCCTCAGACCATGAGACAGACATAAGATTCATTACCACCTATAACAACAACAACAACGCCATACAGCACATCCTGCGGAAAAATTGGCACATTCTCAAACTAGATCCTAAACTAGGTCCCTCCATCCCAACAAGACCCACAGTCACGTTCAGGAAAGCTAAGAACCTGAAAAACAAAATAGCAGCCAGCAAAATCTAAAACCCCAGAGCAAACCTGATGCCGCTTCTAAAGTTTGACCACAGAGTGGGCACATTCCAATGCAAGAAACCACGTTGCCTGACGTGACAGTTCATTGCTCATGGCCAATCGGCATTCACAGACAGCGCCAATAACAACCACCCCATTAAACAATTCATCACATGTTCCCACGACCATGTCATCTACGGTCTGAAATGTCCTTGTAATTTAATATATGTAGGTTGTACCATCCGTCCGCTAAGAAAAAGAATAGGCGAACATAGAAGATTCATCTCAGAGGGTGACCCAGACCACAGCGTCCCACGGCATTTTGCACGCAAACATAACAAACGCATCCAAGATCTGCATGTATTCGCTATCGAATACATTCCCGAACACTACTCTGCACCCGAGCGTTTCCAGTGGCTATGCAGGAGAGAAACGTACTGGATATACCAGCTTAACACTTTAGTTCCCAATGGACTGAATGAGGAGTTGGAGATCCTCATCTGATCAAACCACATTAACCACTTTGCATCCCCATACCCTAGTCCCCAATAACATAGAGCACCTTATGCTATCAATTAGTAGATACTCGGTTCCATCAGTCCCCAAAGACAGAGTTGCATACATTCTAAATCCCTTTTAATCCTTTTTAAATTCTCTTCAAATCTGTTTTTATTCCTTTTAATAAAACACAATACATAATATCAATAAAATTGAATTTTATTGAATTTTAATCAACTCATCCCCCAATTCTTTTTAGCCAGCCCAATGCCAATCCCACCCATACTCATGTACTAATCATTGCGGTTTTCCCCAAAAATCCACAATGCCAAACAGTCCATATTCCAAACACAAATATTCATTCATTCCCTTTCAGATTGTCCGTTCCCATGTATCAATCATTGCTTGTTTTCCCCATAATCCACAACACCAGACAGTTCACATTCCAAATACAAGTAGTCACACACTACATTATGCCTTTCACAGTGTCCGTCCTCATAGCTCTGCCCACCTGTCATTTTAAAAAAAAAAACGGCTGATGACCGTCTAACAAAATCCCAGTTAACCCACATACATTACTAACCATGGCCACACACGATCACCCCATATCACCCATCAGTATCCCCGATCAGCATCCACACACACTAAACAGAGTTTAATTTCAGCTCGAGCAAGCAGAACACAGCGGCACAGCTGCCGACTGCAGCACACTTCACCCGCAAAACTCCGCCCACTTTTTCTTTTTAAACCCGGTGAATCTCCCGCCAATGTTACTCACCTTCTATCTCCGAGCTTGAAAAAGAGGATCTCCTCGAAACGATTAAACAAGTACATTCCCGTTACTTTCTGTGTACTTATCACCAGGATGAGAAGTGGTGAGATATTTCAGTTCCTACCTGATTTATCACGGGTTATTAAACACCATTTTCTAGACTTTTCACTTTGCTAAGGTGAGAAAAGCCTTCTCACTGCTTATCACACTCTTTCACAGTTTATTAAACGTACACCTTAGTGTCTCATTATTACGTCCACAGGGTTCTCCTCCTGTTTTTTGAGCAGCAATCCACACCATTTGTATCCACGCACGCCCTGCATCCCTGAAAGAGCGCTGTGTATTTTTCTTTTTGTTTTGAATGGTTAGGACTAGACTGAATCACTGAATGGTTAGGGTTAGACCGAGTCACTGAATGGTTAGGGTTAGACCGAGTCATTGAATGGTTAGGGTTAGACTGAGTCACTGAATGGTGAGGGTTAGACTGAATCACTGAATGGTGAGTGTCAGGGTTAGACCGAATGGTTAAGATTAGACCAAGTCACTGGATGGATAGTGTTAGACTGAGTCACTGAATGGCTAGGGTTAGACAAGTCACTGAATGGCTAGGGTTAGACAAGTCACTGAATTGTTAGGGTTAGACCGAGTCACTAAATAGTTAGTGTTAGACCGAGTCAATGAATGGTTAGGGTCAGGGTTAGACTGAGTCACCGAATGGTTAGGGTTAGACCGAGTCACTGGATGGTTAGGGTTAGACCGAGTCACTGAATGGTTAGGGTTAGACCGAGTCACTGAATGGTTAGGGTTAGACCGAGTCACTGAATGGTTATAGTTAGACTGAGTCACTGAATGGTTAGGGTTAGACTGAGTCACTGAATGGTTAGGGTTAGACTGAGTCACTGAATGGTTAGGTTTAGACTGAGTCACTGAATGGTTAGTGTTAGACCGAGTCACCGAATGGTTAGGGTTAGACTCAGTCACCGAATGGTTAGGGTTAGACTGAGTCACTGAATGGTTAGGGTTAGACTGAGTCACTGAATGGTCAGGGTTAGACCGAGTCACTGAATGGTTAGGGTTAGGGTTAGACCGAGTCATAGAACCAAACCACTGAATGCTCAAGGTTAGAATTGAATCACTGAATGGCTAGGTTGTGTTTCCTGTTTCAGGAGAATGTAAAGTGTTTTGTACATCATTTCTTCTTTTTTTGGATTATGCTTAGGACTAATATTTTACATTTTTACAAAATAAGTTTCCTTTTATTTGTCAAGTAAATAGGAAATATTGACTAGTTTGTATACTTCTACCCAGCTGGAAGATGGACTCTTAGGCTCATTTTCTTCAGGTGGTCCTTATCTTCTGTAGTAAAAGCCAGTGATTTATTGAGCTCAATAGCTCAAAGTGAGATTTACACACCTAAGTGAAGAAGTCCGAAGAGTGATTCACAAGAGTGATTAATATCTCATCGGACACCTACTTCTGAAGTTTCAGTCTGACCAACGAGTCTCAAAGCAGACAGATACTAGTTTAGATAATCAATAGTGCTCTTGGAATCCTGTATCATGTTTTGAATGTTTAAAACTTAGATTGTATAGTTATATTTAAAAATATATAGAACAAGATGCATAAAAACAATTTAAAATACAACTGACCCACAACCATTATAGTTTCCCTTCAATGTTTGGCTGAACTGTGCCTGTAACCAAGCAATGTGCCAGAGTTCATGTGTTGCTATTACAAATTAAATGGGATGTTTACAGTTTCTTAAAACTCTATAATTGTCCAGTTTTCATTTCCTCACAGATGCAATGTATAAATTCCTCATTGCTACCACTTGCTTGCAGCAAGCGTCTGTACTTTACTCAATGCCAGCTATTACCACATAGGGGAAGACACAGATGATGTACTATAGTTAATTACTGGAAACCTACTGATGGCAGTCAGGGTTCCCTTTCAAGACAAAGTTCCTTTCTGACACTTTTGAGAATCTGCAGAGAGAACAGGTAAGTGAGTTGTGAGTTACCCTGTGATTTTTCAATTCTGGTTCACTGATTTTCAAAACTGTAACTCTTTAATTTTCACATGTACTCACCACTGGAAGTTCTTGCATATTTTAATTTTACAAAATCTTGCCTTATATTGGTTTATAGACTAAATATACAACTATAATTTTGTCTAGGACTTAACATGCAAAATAATTTTTCTGTGACTATTTAGACAGCAATGCGCAGTATATTGCTGGAGGTTACTGAGAGATAAACGCAAACTGAACAGGCTGCATATAATATGAGTAGCTCATGTACTATTGCCTGGCTTCTGTGGAGCTTATGTCTCTGTATACTGCAGTGTCTTTCTGTTGTCCCCTATGTTTTTAGTCTTAGCAAGGCTGACAGGTTAATAAATAAAACACACATGTTCACGCATAATATTAACCGTGATCAATCTATGTGTGTGTTTTCATATTTACTCACTTGAAGAAGAGTTTCATTCAAAGCTGTAATAAAGTACTATGCAAAAAGCTATGCCACCTGTTCTATCAAAGATTGTGACTAGGTTGGAATGTGTGACCATCTGAGTGCGATCTGACATTTCACAGAGTCGGATAGAAGTGACATTTCAGGACCGAACATCTGTTCCAGGGCAGATCAGTTCTCCTGCACATACCATCTGCGATGCCGATCTGCCCTGGAACAGCTAAGAAAGCTTTGAATTCTACACCTTTTGCCGGCCACATATTTTAACCCCGGAAAAAATGGGCGTGATTACATTAGAATGTGACCGGTCACGCATTCCACCACCAACAAAATGGGCGTGATTACATTAGAATCTGTGACCACGTCACCAGTCACACATTCTAAAGCAGTCACAAACTTTGATAGAACACCACCAAGTCCATAGCAAAAAATATAAACACTTAAAAAAACAATACAATATTGCAAATAAGCCACCAAACTATAACCAACATTTAAAAATACCCAAAACTAAAATGTTTCCGTTCATCGATACATCATATCAATAATGATCCAACAGCATTATATAGGTGACAAATGATAACCAACAGTCAATTCCACTGTTTCTAAAAAATTACCCAGTGTTCAAAGGGAGAGATGATAAAGGCCAGGGGAAACTGAAGAAGCACTACAGGTCTCAACCAAAAGATTGAATTAACTTTTTTTGTTTTAACCCCTTCGTGACTGACGACGTACAGTGTACGTCGCCAGCATCGGGGCTGTTTAAACAGACTCCCGGCGTTTTTTGCCGCCGGGAGTCTGTTTAAACTTGTAGAGCCGACTGTCGGCTTTACAACAGAAGCAATCCTGGC